TTTTTAAAAAATAACTCATTCCATGTAGTTCTGTCAGGAACACTAACATTAAAGAAGCTTAACTGTACTACAGCAGCAGCAATGACCCAGGCCTGGCCACTTATGATATCCACTTTCTCCTCTACAGTGGAGAGGAGAAATATGTGAACCAAGTACAGTCAACCAAAGCTCCTCCCCAGAAAAATCACAAAACAAGAAACCTCCTGTCTTCTTCTAAGATAAGTATTAGAAGGCCCATGTTCGCCATTCAGCTCCCAGGATGGAAAGAGACATACAGTGCCCTGGCATTATCACTTGATCCTGTGAATCCAGGTGTCTTTAAAGCCAGAAGAGTCTAGATTTTTCAGCTACATGAGTCAACCTATTTCACTTTTTGTCTTTAGCTGGTTTTGTTGTTGTTGTTGTTTATTTTGTGTTTTCCCCTTGAGACAGGATTTCCTAAATTGCCAATGCTGGCCTCAAACTCAAAATCTGCCTGTCTCAGCCTCCTGAGTAGGTGGGATTTCAGGTGTGTGCCACAGTGCCCAAATCCGTAAGCTGTTTTGAGTAGGATTTTTATCATTCCTATCACAAGAGACCTACTATGGCATGGAAATGGCAAAAGAACTCTTCACAAAAACTATTTATATAAGAGAAATGCAAAATGAGAAATAGAAATTATGAGTGGACTGTGGCTTTGGCTCAGCAGTAGCGCACTGGCCTGGCATTTGTGAGGCACTGGGTTCGGTTCTCAGCACCACACATGAATAAATTAAATAAATAAATAAAGGTCTACCAACAACTAAAAAAAAATTTAAAAAGAAATTAAGACATAAATAAGTATATGAATATAAGTATACTGATGCTTCCATAAAGGGCAACGTCTTCCACACCTGAGTCACTTCTCACCAGTGTGAACACAAGTGATCATTCTTTTTGAAACATTTTTTTCACTTGCTTCCCAAATCACCAGAATATCCTTTATTTCTTCATGTCTTTGATACCATTCTCTGAATCTCCTCTGATGCTTCTCATTCTCATTCTCTTTATGTTGGATAACACTGTGCTCACACATGGTCGTCATGTACTCTCCTTTCATGCACTCACTGTGCAATCTCACATGGTCCCACTGCTTTAAAATAATTTTAATATGAAATAACTCCAAAATTTTACCTTCAGCCAGAAGCATTCCTCTACCTAGGCAATATCCAACTGCCTAGCCAATAATATCTCCACTGGATGTTTTTAGGTTTCTCAAAATTAGTATGTTCAAAACAGAACTCTGAGTTTGCCCCAAGATCCTGCACCTCCCCAAGAGATCCTCTTCTCATTAAGCAGCATGGCCATTACTGTGACACAAGCCAAATACCAAGAAGTCTCCTTTAACCTCTTTCTTGGTGCCATAATTTAATTAATCAATCCTGATGGCTGACCCTTAATGATAATGAAGCAAAATCTGTATCTGTTTAAAGTTACTAAAGCACATTAGAAATATGTTAAGGTTCTGGAATTATAACCCAAAATTAAAAAAAGAAAGATAAGAGACCCCCCTGTGCACACCTGAAACCACAAGTTGTAGCAAACCCTATATGTGCTGTTTTTTTTCCTATATATACATATCTATGATAAAGCTTAATTTCTTAATTAGGTGCAGCAAGATATTAACAACAATAACAATAAAATAGAGTAATTATAACAATACACTATAATAAAAGTATATGAGATGGTCTCACTCTTTCTTTCCAAATATCTTAAAAGAAGCACTTTACAGCTTCTCTTTTGTATATCTGAATTACCAGCATAGCTACTCTTGTACTTTGGGGCTACCTGAAAGCAAATACTGTAATACTGCAATAGTAAATCTGTTAACTGACAAGGCTATTCAGTGGCCAATAGCAGGCAATACATGCAGCATGCATAAGCTGGATGAAGGGATGAGTCACATCCCAGGCAGAAGGACAGTGAAAGGTTTCAGCATACTACCCAGAACACAGCACAATTTAGGACTTATGAATTATTTATTTATGAAATTTTCGATTCAATATTTATAGACCATGGGGGTAGGGGGAACTCTACTATAAGGTATTACAAGGTAATAAGGGTTTGTTTGTTAATGTTATTCTTTGGATGTATAATGGGTAATTAGAACTATCTGTCTGACTCACAAGAAGCCCTGTATGATCCTCATACTGTGGTGGGCTCCTAGCAGCCATTCTACACAATATGACAATTGCTTCTCCCAGTCCCAACTAACTAAGCCACTAGTGGATGTCAGACTCAAGCTTCCCAAGGAGTCTGAAACTGAAGCTGCCTTCCTTCACACCTCTCACTGTGAACTGGCTGGTCGGTCCCTTAACATGCAGACAGAGATGCTGAGAGGGGCTGGCTGGGGAACTAAGGAAGATAGTCTTCAGAGGAGGAGAGGGAGGGAAAAATGAAGCAGACGCACAGTACCAAAAATAAAGATGGAAAGCAAACACTGCTTTAATGCCTGGGAGATTGCTAATTTCTGGGCCTATATCTTTCTGAAGGCCTAACTAATTCCTTGAGGCAACCCTGCATCCTATCGTTTTATCTAATCCCAGTCAAACATTCCTACATAGTACTCTGGGAATGATAAAGAAATCATAACAGATTATTTCCCTATATGTTTCACTGTTTATTAAGGCATAATCCTTCACAATAACTGGAAACAAACATCTGAATGGGAAACAAACTCCAAAATGACAGCTTGAAACAAAAGGGAAAAATGAATAATTTATCCAAAACATTTTAAAGTCTAGTGTTCCTTCAAAAATCACCTGAGGAAGTTAGCAATATTCTTTTCAACAACATCTGAGCACACACATTTCCTTGAGTAAATATGAAAGGGAAAAAAAAAAAAAAAAAGCTTAGCCAGCTGCAGTGGTGCACACCTATAATCCCAGCAACCCGGGAGGCAGAGGCAGGAGGACTGCAAGTTCAAGGCCAGTCTCAGCAACTTAGGGAGATCCAATCTCAAAAAAATAAAAAGGACGAGGGTATCACTCAGTGGTTAAGCACAACTGGGTTCAATCCCAGACCAAAAAAGAAAGAAAGAAAAGAAAAAGAAAGAAGAAATATGTTAAAGCAAGAAGTGACTTGTTCAATAAGGCCAAGTAACTCTCTAGCAAGTTCCAAAACAAACTTATTTTAGTCCCCAAAAGAAAAGGGAGAGAGGTGACTTTATGGAAATAGCAATTTTGTAGCTATTGAGGTGAAACAATTTGGTACCAATGTATAAAAATATCATCATGTTCCTCAGAGTACAGTACTCAATAGCATTGAAGTTTATTTTATTTCATTCATTATATAAACAAAAACAATTATAAATCCATGCCAGGAAATTGAATTAATTAACCAGAACAGTGAAAAAATATGCACAGGAAAAAGTACAGGTCACTTTAAAAATCACTTACATTAAAAAATTTACAAATACTTACATTTTTTGCCGTCATGTCAAACTATTTAAGATTCTGTAAAGCCATTAAAAAAATCAAAAACAAAAAACCTTCATCTTCAATTAATTCTTTAAAAGAATATCCTGTTAAAGGGAAAAAAAAGAAACAGTATTGTAGTAATAATAATAATAGGCAACACTTATGTCATATTTACTATGTGACATGCATTGGTCTCTAAGTAGAATGTCTAAGGAATTGTCACAACAGCACTATGAGATATATACCATTTAATTCCCATTTTACACCTAAAAACTAGGGTTTAGAGCAGCAGTTAAGTAATCTGATCAAGATAACCAACAAGTGACATACCCTGAGCTCTGATATATTATAGTATGTTCCTTTAGCTAATCCACTGAAAGAAATACCAGGGCTTCATAGAGAAATGGTTAAATTCAGAACAAGGCAGAAAGTGTACAAAATAAACTTAATTGTGCCTGAAGTAAAGAAGGGCTCAAAAGAAGCCAGGCACAGTGGTACACATCTATAATCCCAGCTACTTGTGAGTCTTAGGCAGGAGGACTACAAGGACTTAGTGAGACTTTGTCTCCAAAAAAAAATTTTTTTAATGGCTGGGGATACAGTTCAATGGTATAGCACTTGCCTAGCATGCAGAAGGCCCTGTGTTCAATCCCCAATAATGTTAAAAAAAAAAAAAAAAAGAGGGGGGCAGGTGCGGCGGGGAGGGCTTCAGGAAGCACCTGAGGAAGTTAGTAATACTCTTCTCAACACAATATGAGATTGTGTCTCAGAGGTAGAGCACTAGCCTAGCATGTGTGGGGCCCTGGGTTCAATCCTCAGCACCACATATATAAAGATATTGTGTCCACCTATAACCAGAAAATTAAAAATTTAAAAAAATAATAATGGAAAAAAGAGAGAGGGAGGGAGGGGGCAGGGTGGGGAGACAGAGAGAGATGGAGACATGTAAATCATACATAGGAGCCAGTTTAAAGGGTATAGAACTGAACGATTTGGGTCACCAGAGCACCAAAAATATATAAGGATAGTAACAGATTATAAATCCAATGACAAAAATAATAATCCAAGATCATTACAGATGAGGGAGAAAGAAAGCTCTTCTTTGCAGTATAATACAACTAATAAATATAAATGAACGATGCAGTCAGTAGTAACAAATAAAGCAATAAATGGTAAAGCTAGTCAGTGGAAGCATGATGAAAACAGGATATTTACATATTTATATAATCTTGAAAAAAAAACACCTATTAATTCAAACTTTCTAGTGAAGAAACCTGGCACATACTGCTTTAGTCAAGAAATCAAAGTCACCAAATGCTAACCAATGGGACAAGTGCACTGAGATTGATATCATTTCTGAGTTGTTTCTGGCCAAAATGCAAAATCTAGATCTAATCATAAGGAAAAATCAGAGAAATCCAAGTGTTAATGTTATTCTTTAGATGTATAATGGGTAATTAGAACTATTTGTCTGACTCACAAGAAGTCCTGTATGATATCTCCTCATACTGTGGTGGTCCTAATTCTGCAAAAGGGATAAATGATTTCTGTAAAGACAATTATTGGGTAATTGAAGACAATATGGGCACAGACTGGATGGTAGTATGGTTTCAACATTTCCTTTCCTGATTTTGATCAATGAGCAGTGAGGTTTTGAATATCTTTTTTTCTCAGAAAAACATATTAAAATATTTAGGAGGGATGGGTATAACTTACCCTCAAATAATGAAACAAATATGATATGGATATACAGAGGAAGTAAGAATAATAAAGCACATATGGAAAATTGTTTACATAATTGTTACATTTGGGGAATCTGAACAAAGGGTATTCAGGAGTTTTCTGCCCTACTTTTACAACTTTCATTTTTGAATTATTTAAAAATTAAAAATTTAAGAAGGATTTAAAAAAAGTCAAAGATCATAAATAATGGGAACTGGAAGAAATGGGGGCTACAAATGTCTCCTTTATATGCTGCAATTTGAATCTACAAGTAAAATGAAAATAGAAGAAAAATAAGATTTTTTTTTTTTACTTTTCAACATAATACAGTTTGTAATTTTTCAATAGCAAAGAAAACAAACTGTCCAGTGAAGCATGTAGGCCTACAATCCCCAGTTACTAAGGAGGCTAATGCAACATCACAAGTTCTAGGTTATCTTGGGGAATTTGGCAAGACTCCATCTCAAAATGAAAATTGAAAAGGACCAGGATGGGGCTGGGGATGTGGCTCAAGCGGTAACGCGCTCGCCTGGCGTGCGTGCGGCCCAGGTTCGATCCTCAGCACCACATACAAAGATTTAGTGTCCACCAAGAACTAAGAAAAAAATAAATAAATGTTAAAATTCTCTCTCTCTCTCTGTCCCCCTCTCTCTCTCACTCTCTCTTTAAAAAAAAAAGAAAAGGACCAGGATGTTGCTCAGTGGTAAAATGCCCCTGGTTTCAGTCCCCACTACCCAAATAGATAAATAAATTTAAATTTGATAAATAATAAAACACAAGTTCCTGATGGCTCATTTACCAAACTACATTACATGTTTGACCCAAGAATTTAAAGGTGAAGGACTGGGGTTGTGGCTCAGTGGTAGAGCGCTTGCCTGGGCAATAGGTTCGATCCTCAGCACCACATAAAAAAATCAATAAATAAAATAAAAGTATTGTGTCCATCTACAACTAAAAATATTTTTTTAAAAAAAGAATTTAAAGGCTAACATATAACTATTATATTTTGAAGATTAATGTTTTAAACAAATTGATGTAATGTCTATATAGAAATCTGTGCCTATTAGGTATGAAACATCTCTTTAAGCACAAATCTATAAAAAGTTGTCCTCATATGTGACCACCAAGGAAGTTGCAACAAATTTCAAGGGGAATACATATATACAGATTATAGTATCTGGTCACATATAATTAAATTAGGAGTCAACTATTAAAAATTGTTTAAAATCATATATTAGAAAATAAAATTATTAAACATTCCATGAATTTGTAATATTTAGAACTGAATGACAGTGAAAATAATAAAAAATATTTATAAAACATGTGATATCTACCTTTTTATTCAATAAGCCACTAATTTTAAAACTTAAAAAGTAGAAACTCAAAAAAGATGGAAAGAATGTGCATAAAAATAATGAATAGAAAAAAAATCAATTAACAAGCTGTTTCTAAGTCTCCTGCTTAAAGTAAGACATTTAATAAAGTCACAATGTAGTAGAATGAAAAGATAATGGACTTGGGCTCAACCTCAGCTCTGACACTTAGTGTAAGCTCTTAACTTCTTGTATCTCCATCTGGGAAAAAAAAAAAAAAGGAATACTATGTGTTTCAGAATCGTGTTAGGAGTAAACTGGATATCATTTATTAAAAGTAAAAATCATCACATCTACCAAGTCAAAGTGTCAAATACCCTCCAGTTTATACATTAAATACTGGGAGCACTTCTAACCACAAAAAAAGCTCAATCTAAAAAAATTTAAGATTGTTTTATGACCTACTGAAATACAATTACAACAAAAAACAATGAACTCTTTCCCTCTTAAATATGGTTTGAACATGTGAAAATTTTAATGCATATATCCAAGGTAGATACTATTCTCTACCTATTATCATTTTTCCCTTGTTTCTTAAAAAGTTGAAGGTGGCAATGTATCCAGCTAAATGTGCTACATTCTCATCCTAGATGAGCTGATCATATAACATATAATTCTGGCCAATGAAATACAAGCCTTGTTGAGTTGACTACCACATCCAGCTACTAGGTTGCTCCTGTTCCCTTCTCCTCATTTCTTTGGGCTCAGAAGACAGCTGTAATGGCATCTGCTTTATTTCTGAATCCACTCAGTACGAAATTTCTTAAAGATTGTGCTGTTGAGTGGCACTGTGCTATTCATACAAATAAAAAGAAATTAAGAGTGTAAGTATTTCAGTACACAACAGTAAGAGGCTACCTGGTGCTGAGGATGTAGCTCAGTGGTAGAGAGCAAACAAAAGGCCCTGGGAGAGAGAAAAAGGAAGGAAAGAAAAGGAAGGAAGGAAGGAAGGAAGGAAGGAAGGCAGG